TGTGGCTCTTCCACAAAATGCCATGGCCTTGGTGAGTCCATTTTGAAGAAGTGGCGTTAGAAGAAGTTTAAGTTTAAAAAATTTGGCTCTCCAAAGAAATTTCAATCGTTGTCCTGTTGATGTTTGGCTCTGTTGACTAATGAGTTTGCCGACCACTGCCCTAGGAAAACACACAAATACAACACAACACAAAGTGTCAGACTCACCAGGTGGCAACCGAGGGCCTGACACCCTTCTCTTTCTTCCCAGGGCTCTTCCTAATAATACCACATCAGAAACACACCAAGGAAGACAGTCCCCACTTCAGCAGGGAGGACTGAGCCAGTAATAACCCGGTGAGACCCTCACTCTATTTGAAGCTAACCTTCAAATAAGACACAGCTGGAAGAAGTATGTAAAAGCTACTTCTCAATAGGCAGGTGGGATTCTCAAAGGACAAAGCAGCAGAACAGCGAAACCTAAGCTGGTATTTTTCACCGCCTTGAGGATACTCCTGCTATAAATAAACACGAGCACTGGGCCAGCTGGGGGGAAGGGTGGGGAGGGGGTCTGCAGGAGCACTGCTCTTAAAGCTAATGTCTTAGGAAAACCTCCAAGGTAGTGCTGGCCAACACTGGTCTTACAGATGGGGACCTGGGCCCGGGGGCAGTCTGACCTCAGGACTCTGACATTGAGTCAGACCAGCGCTAGAGATAGAACCCAAATATGCTTCCAGCCCAGCATCTTCCCTCTCACAATTCAATTTAAATATTTACCCAGCTCCTGCCCGTATCACAACACCGTGCCAGGAAAGAACTCCTCAACCAGCCCAAACCCTCCATTACCAGGGTCATTTTTCTGCATTCCACTTTTAAAAGCATGCCCCAAGGGAAAGCAAACTTATGTTTAAGACTTTATGGTCCTTCTCTTCTTTCCCACTTGTTTTGCAACAGTTGGGGACCATCGTGGGGATGACCCACTTTCCTTCTACTCCGCCCCATTTGTGCATCGCTGACCCACGGACTTCATGTTTCAATCACAGTCCCAGCACTTGGCCAAATTTTCAGCCACAAACTAAGGTTCTATTTTATTTTTTAATTTTTATTTATTTATTTATTTATTTATTTATTTTAATATATTTTATTGATTTTTTACAGAGAGGAAGGGAGAGAGATAGGGAGCTAGAAACGTCCATGAGAGAGAAACATCGACCAGCTGCCTCCTGCACACCCCCCACTGGGGATGTGCCCGCAACCAAGGTACATGCCCTTGACCGGAATCGATCCTGGGACCTTTCAGTCTGCAGGCTGACGCTCTATCCACTGAGCCAAACCGGTTTCGGCAATCCCGCCTAAGTCTTGAGTTGTTTGTAAAGATAACAAGATATAGCCCTGCCTGGTTGGCTCAGTGATTAGAGTGTCAGTCAGGGATTGAATGGTCGAGGGATCAGTTCCTGGTTAAGAGCAGATATCATGGGTGCAGTGCCTGGGGCACATATGGGGGGCAACCAGTCGACATACCTCTCTCATTTAGATGTTTTCTCTCTCCCCTTCTCCTACTTTCTCTAAAAATCAATGGAAAAAATATTCCAGGGATATTTCCATTGACTTCGTCTGCTGGGGATAATGCCGGCAGACTTATCTGCTTAGCCCAGGACCTCTGATTTCCTTCAACACAACCACCCTTTACGGAGTGCCCTCAGGTGCTAGGTACTTCAAAAAAGAGTCCTGCAAGGGGGCAATCACTGACCTGAAAACACTCACAAACTCCACAGCGCCAGCTGGCTGTCCCTAGGTGCCATCAGCTCGTCCTGAGGCCTCTGGTTAGAAGGAAGACCCTTCTCCATCCTCAGAACATAGTACTAGGTCTTCCTGAGATGTTCTCTGATGTGACGGAGGCTTATAAAACGATGAAAAAATTGCTTATAGAAAATGGGGCTTGTGAACAAAAATCATAACGCTTCATACCAGAGATTGTGGGAGCTTGAAAGAGATCAATTTTAGGGCCATAGTCAAGCTGGTGTACAGAAGCGGAGAGGGTATCGGACCAAAACTCCAGAGCCTGTTTCTTCACCAGTTCACCTCATGTCATCAGGCAAGGCACATTCCCTCTGCAGTTTTACAGATGAGAGAGGAGGACAGGAGCAATGGGTTTTATTAGTAATAAAACCCGTACACGCTGCATGTTCTATTTTATCTAAAACCCCAATATGTAAAACAAAACGGGAGTTGCTTGTGCTGACTTAGGGCTGGGGAGCCCAGATCTGTGTGCCCTCAGGAAAGCCAGTTTGAAAACCACAGGAATAGATTAAGTCAGAGAGCCCTTCCAGAACTCTTTGTTTTTGTTTTTTTTTTTGACAGGAGGGAGGAGGGAGAGAGAAAATCAATGATGAGAATCATCGATCAGCTGTCTCCTGCATGCCCCACACTGGAGATCGAGCCCCAACCTGGGCACATGCCCTCGACCAGAATGGAGCCTGGGGCCTTTCAGTCCACAGGCTGATGCTCTGCACTGAGTCAGCCCGGCCAGAGCCCCTTCCAGAACTCTTACACCCTCTTAGGTGCCAGGTAGGGCAGGAAGAAGAAATCATCATTTATTTACTGCTCTTCGTGGTGCCTGGCCATTTACATATGTTATGTCATTGAAATCTTTGCACAGAAACATCAGGGGGACTAGCCTGTGAACTGGGATCTCTTGTAAATTGCGATTTGTTGGCAAGAAGCAGGACTGGGATTTGAACCAAGGGTGTTGTGATTCTCAATGCAGTATTACTACTCCTTGCTAAGAGGTATGGTGATATTTAGGCTAAATCCATGACTTCCTTCAATTATAAATATAATGTACATATATACATGTAGAGAAAAAGATCTTGAAGATTATACCTCTCAAAATGATAATTAGCCATCTCTTATTGTCTAATTTTCTTATAATGAACAGAAGTACCTGTAAACTTAAGTACCTGTAAGTAAGGTACTACTTACAAGAAACAGATACTGCTTATGAAAGTGATTTTTGTTGTTAATGCTCCTGGAGGCTATTTTTTCCATTGATCTTTAGAGAGAGTGGAAGGGAGGGAGCAATAGAGAGAGAGAAACATTGATGTGAGAGAGACACAGCAACCAGTTGCCTCCCTATCGAACCTACAACCCAGGTACGTGCCCTTGACAGGGAACCAAACCCAAAACCCTTCTATGCGTGGGCCAGAACTCTAACCACTGAGCTCACTGGCCAGGGCTAACTCGATTTTACTAATTCCCATGCTGGGTTTCTATGGAGAACTAAGGACTGGGAGGGACGGGGACAGGTGATACCTCTGACCTTCTGGAGCTGACAGTGGGAATAACAATCCGAACCCCACAAAACTCACTTGAGAGGATCTTGGCTGACTTGAGGGGCAGTTTCCCATAGTCACTGAAGGTCTCTGAAGCTCTACCTCGGGGAAGTGATTTAGTTTTAGAAAGTAAAAGCAAATCCCTGGTGCCCCTCCCAAATACACGCCTTCCTCTCCAGCCCTTCAATTGCCTTGTGTAGCTGGGGGTACGTGAATAAAATAAAGAACGGTCACATGGACGACCCCAGCCCAGAAGCCCACGCTCCCCAGCCCAATTGTATCTACAGAGAGTGAGCCCCCAGCGGGGCGGACTGACATTCTCTGGCCCCACCCGAAGCCCGCCCAGAAGCCACAGGCCAGGATGAAGATCACAGCACTCCTTCGGGAGAGCAATTGCCACCCTGAGGCAAAGCAGGCTTTGGTCAGGCATGAGGCGGGGCAAGGCGTGCCAGCTTCTTCCCTGTATTATTCATGCCAGCGCTGCCCGCAGAAAGCTCTTAAATATTTAACATGCCACCTCGAGGTACAGCATAAACCCCCGGCAGTAGCAACAGCTGTGGAGGGGCCTGCAGGGAAGGAGGGACCTGGGGCTGAGGCACGCTCTCTGGCTTTGGGGGGAAAGCCCAGAATGGTGGCCAGGAAGACAATGCCGAGAGAGACTTCAGAAGGCTGCCCCTGCCAGCTTCTCTGAAAACCAGTCAAGAATTGCAGGAAATGGGAGATGTCCCCAAACGTAGGGAGAGGATGGTGCCTGATCAAGGGAATCCAGACAAAGGAAAAGCCTGAGGGACACCTCCCAGTCTCCCCCCCCCCACCCCCACCCCACCCCAATGTCAGCCCTGGTTCTACCGAGCAGGCATCAAAATCTGTCCTGACTCCTGCGAGAATGTAGGGAACGAGAAGACCTGGGACAGCCATGTCTATCTCCAAAGGGGAATAAATCCAGGAGGGAAGCAGCTCTTCCAATGTATCTACTCAGCTCTGGGGCTTGACATAGAAAAACGACCCCCACGCCCACACCCAGTGACTTCACACAGGCCTCACCCCGGATGACTCCGCTCTGAAGGCCGGGAGATGCCATCGCAGCGGCCCAGGTGGCTGTCCCTCGGACATTGCCCCGTAACCGCCCGGAGAGGTCTGCCCCTCCCTCCTCCCATACCCCCTGCCAACGGGATCGGACACGGAGGACTCGCCTGGGCTGCAGTCAATGGGAGAAACCTAAAAAGGAGTGTTTTCAGCCCCACGGGGAGCCCCGCCTCCATCTCTCCACCCTTCCCCGCGCGCGGACCCCTGCAGGCAGCGCCCCGGGCTCATCGGGGCCTCTTTTCTGTCATTTTCCCTTTTGACCGAAGCCTGGAGGCGGCCCGCGGGGCGCGGCGCCGGGCGACCCCAGCCGGCACCTCTCCCGAAGGAGACGCGCGGGTCCCCGCGGCGCGCCCACTCGGGGCCGCGGCGACCCCCACCGGCCGCGGGAACAAAGCGCCGGGGCGCCTGGCGCTCGCGGCCCCGCCCGGCGGCCCCCGGAGCCCGGCCGGCCGGAGGGACAGCTCGCCGGCGACCTCGGCCGCTACTGTACCTGCTAAAATTAGCGGCCGCCGCCGCGTATTAATAGCCGCAGCGCCGGGCGGACGCCGCCGAGGGCCGCGCGGAGCGGGAGGGAGGGCAGGGCGCGGGGAGGAAGGCCACTTACACCACCAGCCTGGAGATGATCCATGACACCATGGCGGGCGGGCGGGCGGCCCGGGCGGGCGGGCGGGCGGCTGCGGGCGCGGGGCTGCGGGGCGGCGGGCGGCTGCGGCGCTGCGGGCACGTCCGTTCGCGCACGGCCGCGGCCGCCAGACTGAGCGCGCGCCCCGCCGCCCTGCGCCCGCCCGCGCGTCGGCGCAGCCGCGGCACACGCTGCGGCGGCCCCAGCCCCCGGGGCCCGGGGGGCCCGCGGCGATTGGGCGGCCAGCGGGGCGCGCACCGGCTTGACCCGCCCCGCCCGTTCGCCCCGGCCCGCCCGCCGGTCTCGGGCAGCTCCTCCGTGCGCCCTGGGCACCGGCCGCTCCAGGGGCGCCCTGAGGTGGCCCCGCGGCTGGGCACGGAGCTGGCTGCCGCCCCACCCGCAGTGCTAGGGGTGGGGGAACGGAGGCGTGGACTTGGACCTTGGGAATCTGTCTACCTGTTCCCGGTTGGGATTCAGGCGTCCATCCCTTCCTCAGACACAGCGCTAGCCTCCCGAGGGGCTTCCACTACCCCTCCCATCTGCCCCCACGTCTGGGCATCTGCCTACCTGGTCCAAGCTCTGCCTACAGACTCCCTGCCACCACCGTTCCCCAGACATCCGCGGGGCTCTCTTTGCTTCAGACGTTTTGAACAGCAAACATATGTGCTGTTTCCTCATCCCTGTCCATGCTGTCCATACGCCTCCGCTTTTCCGAGGCTCAGCCAGAAGGTTGCTTCCCGGGGAAGGCCTTTTGCAAGGGGCTGCCCAGTATTTGGTGTGGAATTGCTCAGAGGTACGACCTGGCCAGGAGGAAGCTAGAGCACCACTGTCCTGCTGAGCCATTTGGAGCCTTAGGCAAAAGGGAAAAGGTGCATTCTGTACACACTCTTTTTTTTTAATATTTAAAAATACCTATTGCATTTCTTTATCTTGATTACTACACTTTATGGCACTCCCTTAAATTTTGCCCCTGGGCAAGTGCCTCTCTCTCCTCACTCTGGTCCTGGCCCTTATCACGTAGGTCCTTGCACACTGTTCCCTTATGCTTGGAAAACCTTTGTCCCCTGCTCCTCAGCTCTGCTACTGCCTTCCTCACCTCCTGCTCCGGTGCTCCCTAAGAGCACTGCTCTCCTTTGCTGATGCTCAAGTGATGTATAGTTCAGTGTCAGATCTGAGAGGCGCAGGAGAGAGCTGGCAGTGGCAAGGAAACCTCAAGCTTTGGCAAAAGGGGGCTGGAAATGTACCACAATAAGGGTCTCTGACAAGGGTCTCCAAAGAACCCATAAAATACCTGTTGTGTGTGTGTGTGTGTGTGTGTGTGTGGTTTTGTGGGTGTTTTTTTTTTTTTGTGTGTGTGTGTGTGTTTTTTTAATCTTCACATGAGGATATTTCCCCATTGCTTTCTAGAGAGAGTGGAAGGGAGGGAAGAAGGGGAGAGAGAAAAAGAGAGAAACAGATGCAAAAGAGACACCTCCACTGGTTGCCTCCCCTACACTCCCTGACCAGGGCAGGGAATTGAACCTGCGACCCAGGCGCGAACCCTTGACCGGGAATCAAACCTGAGACGCCTTGGTGCACGGGTCCAACCCTCTAACCCACATGTGTCAAACACAAGGCCCGCGGGCCAAATCCGTCCCGCCAGGCCTTGCAATGTGGCCCGCACTGCGCTGTCATCACTGCACTCCGCTGCGTTTCCATCACAATGACAGTTTATGACTGTTCAGTAAACCATTCGGCCCGCGATTTAGGCTGGATTTTAGATTTTGGCCCCTTCTCTGATTGAGTTCGACACCCCTACGAGTCTAACCCCTTAGCAACATTGGCCAGCTGTAATATTTGTTGAAATGCTGTCTTGACCCAGTTTTGAGGCCCTGGCTAGAGGTGGGTGGGTTTCCCTTCTTAGGCAGCCAATTAGGTCCACACCCCCAACCACCTCTCTTATTGGGTTGTCAAGTCCAGGCCTCTGTACACCTGCCCTAATCACCCAGGACCAGGTACCAGACAACCAGGGCCAGCCTCTGTGCCTGAGAGCCCACGGGAATTATTCAGATCAGCCAGTCAGACTGCTTGTCCCGCCTGGTCCTTTTCTCCTGCAGAAACCACAGTTACACTCACTCCCTCTGCCTTGCAACCTGCCCGTGTTTACCCTGAGTGGCCCTGCATGCATGTGGCGTTCTGTCCAGGGAACTGTGAGTGTAAGAAAACTGTAAAGCTTTCTGGTGTCTTTCTCTTGATCTGTGTCTAACTCCCATACCTTTCCTAAGGTAACAGGGTTAAGACAATAGCCCACAGGAGAAAGCTTGGGCACCTGCCAGGAGGACCAGCACAGTACCAAGCCAAGGGGATCTTCCTGAGGCCTTCACACACACACACACACACACACACACACACACACACACACCCGTTCCACGCCATTTCCTGGAGAGGTCAGAAAATGCTGTTAACTATCTTGGGGAGCGGAATATTGTGATTCAAAGAGATCCTCTTGGTGGAAAATGGAGGAGAAGCCCTATGCATGCTGTTTCTCTCCTGGAGCATGTCCCCTGTTTACATGGAATCCTCAGGTTAGTCTATACACAGAACTGGACACTTAAGTTAATGAAATGAGACTATTCATGGGATTAAAGCGTCTGGAGGTCTTTCTGGTATCTGAAGAGAAACAGAAAATTAATGGGCCAACCCCAGAGGTCACTCAGGCTTGGGAATAAAAAGTGTGTTTCACAGAGCAAGCTTCTGTGGAACACACTTTTTACATGGACAGAGCTGGGGAAAGAACAAACAGAGAAGAAACTTGCTTTTTCATTTCACTTTATCTCTTTCCGTGTAACTGTTACACATATTGCTTCTCTCCATTGGAGACCCCTCCAGTTTGTCCTTGATTCTGGAAAACACGAGGCCAGGAAATAGATACATCTTCTAGACAATGAGCTTCTCACAGCTCTGTTCGTGGATTCACTTGACATTCTTTTTCGCATGAACTGCGGTTTGTAGTGGATGCTGGATATCTGTTTTGCCTGCACCCTTTCCCCTGCCTTCTGGAACCCTCTCCATTTTGTATTGGGGAATGATTCTTCCCGAACTCCAATCCTACAAGGTGTCCTTTTCTCACATGTACTTATCACCTTGATTGGTTCCTGAGTGATCACTAAGACATACGCTGAGCCAAAGATTTCCCCTCGGATTTTTAAAGTTGAAAATAGAACAAAGAGACTTCTACTTGCATCCATGAAGTACTAGCTCCAACAGGCATTTCCCTCCATTGAAAACAACCAGAAAAACAAACAAAAATTCATCCAGCAACTGTTTTCAAGCCTCGGACAACAGGCCGCACAGGGTTGTGATGACTCTCAAAGGGGAAATGAATGATGTGGGGCCTACAGTTGCCCCAGGATACTGTCTCAAAACAGTGTCCAGGTCTCATTACAGGAAGGAGAACACAGACAGAGCCCAGCAATCTCACAGAGGTCAGGAGACAGAAATCAGAGTTCAGGAAAACTGAAGCAGCTAGAATTTGTGGAGCAGAGTATCAGAGAGGAGGGCATAGAGAGAGCCCCAGACATGTGCAGAGGGAGCCCCCCAAGTCTTTAGCTGAGTACTGTTCAGAGCCTGCCTGGGTGATATTCTAGGAGGCCTGGGAGGGAACCACAGAGAGCAGCACACCGAACATTTCCTGGAGCTCACACAGAGCTGGGCAGATTTTGTCTTCACGCCAGCCAAAACAGAGAGATTTCTTAAAATATTAAGCATTGGACAGAATCCTCAAAAGCATACTTAGTATTGGGGCAAAATTTGCTCTAGATTAGAAACTGATCTGGACCTAGCTAATTTGGCTCAGTGATTAGAGTGGTGGCCCTCAGACTGAAGGGTCACAGGTTTCATTCCTGGTCAAGGGAATATACCTCAGCTTGAATCCCTGGCCTTGCTCGGGGCATGCATGAGAGGCAACCAATTGATGTGTCTGTCTCATGTTGATGTTTCTCTCTCTTTCTCTCTCTCTCTCTCCCTCTTTCTCCCTCTCTCTCTCCTATCCCCTCTCCCTTCCACTCTCTCTTTAAAAATCAATGGATCCCAGCCACATAGCTCAGTGGTTGAATGTTGACCTATGAGCCAGGAGGGTTTCAATTCCTGGTCAGGGCACATGCCTGGATTGCAGGCTCAATCCCTAGTGCGGGGGGCATGCAGGAAACAGCCAATCAATGATTCTCTCTCATCGTTGATGTTTCTTTTTTTCTTTCTTTTTTTAAATATATTTTATTGATTTTTTACAGAGAGGAAGGGAGAGAGACAGAGCTAGAAACGTCGATGAGAGAGAAACATCAACCAGCTGCCCCCTGCACACCCCCTACCGGGGATGTGCCCGCAACCAACGTACATGCCTTGACTGGAATCGAACCTGGGACCTTTCAGTCCGCAGACCGACGCTCTATCCACTGAGTCAAACCGGTTTCGGCTCATCATTGATGTTTCTATTTCCCTCTCCCTTTCTCTCTGAAATTAATAAAACTATATCAAAATGAATAAATAATTACTTTTTAAAAAGTAAATATCCTTGGGTAAAGATTAAAAATAATAAAAATAACAAACTGATCTGGGCCTACCTTAACACCGCTTAAATGCAAGACTCAAAAGGACTTTGCCTCTTTTGTCAAACATACAATGGAGTCAAGATAGTCTCTCCAATAAATGGTGTTGGGAAAATTGGATAGATACATGCAAAAAAAAAAAAAAATGAAACTACACCACCAACTTACACCATACACAAACATAAACTCAAAATGGATAAAGGACTTAAACATAAGATGGGAAACCATAAACATACTAGAGGAATCCACAGGCAGCAAAATCTGAACATATGTCGAGGCAATTTATCTATACACCTCCTTGGGCAATGGAAACTAAGAGAAAATAAACAAATGGTACTACATCAAAATAAAAAGGTTCTGCTCAGCAAAAGAAACCATCAACAAAACAAGAAAGCCCACTGCATGGGAAAATACATTTGCCAAAGTTATCACCAATAAGGGTTTAATTTCCAACATTTATAGGGAATTCCTACAGCTTAACAAAAGGAAGATAAACAACCCAATCAAAAAATGGGCAACGATATGTACTACTATTTGTAATACCTTAAACAATAAAATAAAATAAAATAAAATAACCACTGACCTAAATAGATACTTTTCGGAAGAGGACATAGGGAAGACCAAGAGACATATGAAAACATGCTCAAAGTCACTAATCATCTGAGAGATGCAAATCAAAACAACAATGAGGTACCATCTCACACCTGTCAGAATGGCTATCATCAACAAGTCAACAAATGACAAGTGCTGGCGAGGATGCAGAGAAAAAGGAACCCTTGTGCACTGCTGGTGGGAATGCACACTGGT